GGCCGCAGCAAGTCTCGAGACGCCCCGGGAGCGCCAAGGACCACGCGCGAGGAGGCGCTGTACCAAGTGGGCACGCCACCAGACACCACCCGGCTGGAGAACCCAGTGCACGCAGCCTCCCACAAGGCGGAGGTGCCAGTCCACCACAGGAATCCTGCCCTTTTTCTAGAAAAGCTCCCTCCCCCCACTTTCCCTCCAATACACTCACCTGCGTCTCGGCGCAGTTCTTCTCGCGCCACCCGCGGCCGTACCCCGGCACGTCCACGCCTGTGCACGCTGCCTGGCGCAACTGGCCCCGCTCGGCTCCCGCCGCCCCCAACCAGCTTGTGCCCACAAGAGGGGCGGTGCCACCTCCCGAGGCGACCAATTCCCTCGACTCCCGCCGCCAGGGGTCGAGCTCTAGGAACTTCCCGTGCACAACCTCCGCCGCCCCCACCAACGTTCCCGCCCTGAGCCCGGACGAGGGCTCCCGCCGAGCCGAGGCCGGACTCCGCAACACAGCGCCGCGGCGGCGCGCACCGCCCTCAGCCTCGGCGTCCGAAACAGACTCGCGGCCCGGCGAGGCGTGCCCGCCCCCGCCCCACCCCACCCCACCCCCCCACTTGCCTGCTGTGACTCAGAGCTGCAGCTACTACGGCTCACGCTGCCGACCGTCACACAGCCGCGGAGGATTCGCTCCGGGCGGGCTCCGCGGAGAGGCGGTAGTGGCGGCGGCAGCAGCGTCCCCAGGTCTGACAGTGGCGGGAAGGCGGCCTGGAACCCAGCGGAACCCCCGCCCCACCCGCGCCGCGCCAGCAAGCGGCCTCCTCACACGGCCCGCAGCTGCCTCAGTGACGCCCGGGCGCCGCGGTCCCGCCGTTTGTAGCGGGGCGGGGAGGAGGGGCTTGCTTGGAAGAGCGCCAGGAGGCGGGGCCGGCGGCGAGTTCGCGGCGCCGCTGCTACTGCTGCCGGCGCGTGCCCTGCCCGGCAGCCCCGAGGGTCGGTGCCTGGGGCCACACGCCCGACTGCGGACTCTTTGGCTCCTTCCCTCCCAGCTTCCGATTCCTGGCAGGCTCCTGGACCAGGTTCCCCTGGCAGCGCGGAGAGCGTCGCGCGCCCAGAGGCGTCAGATACCAGGTGCAAGTTTGCAAACCCCGAGGCTCCGGACGCTAACGGGCAGCCAGAGCGATTCGCGCGGGGGTACTTTGATATATGTGTATCAAATATATATACATACATATATTAACATATTGCAAGCAAAGCTCAAGGGCTTTTTCCCTACTTCACAGCTGAAGGGTCCGGTCCCTCCGCGAAAAACTAAAGGTTTGCCCCCGCTGCCCTTCTCTGCCTGTCTAGATGGAATTTGATGTTCAAATAAGCCCCGAGTACCTGTGTGGGGTGCTATACTCTGCTTCAAACACAAAGTAAGAAATCCTGCACTCGACTATATAAGCGCCTGTCGCTCGCCGCATCCTTCCAACGCCCCCCACCGAGGCCCCGAAACGGCCAACTCTTCACCGAGGGGGCGTCCCATCGCTGCCTTTCCTCGGCCCGCCCCCACGCCCAGTTCAATCGCTTTCCCCGGGAAAAACCTGTGCCGGTCCTCAGACCCAGACCGAAGACTGGGAGTCAAAACCGACCCCAAACCACGCGGCGGGAGCACGTTTTTACACCTGCTCATCCGCTTAATTACGAGAGCACCTGTCATGTTGGGTGTTTTTTGTGTGTTTGTTTTCTTTCAATGCAAAGTCTTCCGTTTTAACCCTTCCCCCTAAAAAACTACATTTAAAAATATCACCTGTCAAACCTACCTGTAATCGCACGAGGTAAGAGAGAACTGAGCAGTGGGCGGCTGAGTCGCCGCAAGAACGTGACCGAGGTTACAGCTTCAAGGGCATGATGCGGGTTTGATGCAGCAAGGTCCGCTAAGGGCGGCCAGCGCTCCCCGCCCCCCACGCGACGGGCGGGGCTGGGGGAGAAGCGGGGAAGGACTCCTCTAACCCAGGGCGGGAGGTAGAGGAGACAAAATTGCCCTCCTGGGCGATGTCAAATCAGACAGTAAAGTAGGGGGCTCAGCCATGATTGAAATGGAGACAGTCCATCCCTCAATTTGGGGGACCCGGACTGGGGACACCAGAAATAGCTAATTGATTCTGTATCAGCATTTCTATTGTCACCCCAATTACGATTTGCAATTAAATGACCTTAATTGACTTTGTACGGGTTCCTGGGGAAACGGCTCAAAGCGCCTGCGCCTCTTTGACCTCCCTCTAAACAGTTAATTATAATATTCCCATCCCAGGCAGGGGGGATTGCTAAGAATGCCTGTTTCCAAACGTTAGGCAAAAATGGGCCTACCAAATTTGCCAATCCAAGCCTAAAACTCTTATAATGCCTTATGATGCCCTACTTCCCGAAACTGACTTCTTGAAGTCATGGGAGACCTCTCTCTCAACAGAGTTCCCCAAGTCTTCCAAACCACTTCTAGTTGGCAAACACTGCGTTTTCGTGGAGAACTCCAGAACAAGTTAAGCTTTATAAAGTGGGGTTGCCAAGCACTTGGATAAAAGAGGGAAGGGGAACGCAGGAGTACCTGGTGTAAGACAGACTCAGCAATAACTAAGAGAAATAGTTATTCTCTTAATCCCCCAAAAGGTGATTTTTAAACACTCAACATTTTCTCTCCCTCTTTCTTTTTTTTTTTTTTTTTTTGACTTATTTTAGATTCTAACAAATCTTTCAGATGTCCCATTTAAGAAGCCATTTTACCAAGGAAATCTTATGGGCCCTAAACAGATTTCATACCCTTCTATCCCCCAAACACTCACACCTTTCCCCCTGACTTTTAGGAACTGATTTCCAGTTAGGAAAATAATTTCTTAGGTTACTATTGTCTGCTCTGTACCCCGCCCCCCCCCCCCCCTTAACCCTCATACCCTTCTATCCCCCAAACACTCACACCTTTCCCCCTGACTTTTAGGAACTGATTTCCAGTTAGGAAAATAATTTCTTAGGTTACTATTGTCTGCTCTGTACCCCGCCCCCCCCCCCATGTTAAGCCTACATTTTATAGGTTGCACTGTAGGCCTAAGAAATAAATCACCTCCATTTCCCTTACACTCTCAACATCCAGAGGATGGGTATAATAAATAGGGTGTATGGAAGGGCTGAAGGTTTAGAATCTTAACCAACAGGAATGTTTGTACATGAGCGGGGGAGGGGAAAGAACCTGTTCATTTCGGGGAGAAAGTACAGAGACATCCATCCTGGCCCAGCGGTGTTAAGAGTAAATTCTAAATGGTTAACAATTTCTCTCACTCTGGCCACAGTAAAGCCAGATCTGCAGCTGGTAATTACGAGAGAAAATACCCAGTCTCGACATCAGTTTCGCTAACCCGTACTTGCAAATGAAAAACAGAGAATGTATCCAACCTCCAATTTCCCACAGTTATACAGCTCTCATATTAATTCTTTACAGACGTGAAATAGGTGGGTACGTGGCAACGTGCTGGGCATAAATTAAGCAACAATGGCCACGCGAAGTCCTGTTCGCCGCTGAGATCCCGGGGTGGGCACTGCCACCTTGCTATCCCCAGCCCCCAGGACCCCGGAGATGGCAAAGTCGAGTCCGGAGAAGACCGGCCGCGCGTTGGCTTTTCGAACTGGGAGGGTGGGTGGGATAGAGAGCAGAGAGAAATTAAGCCAGCCGGCTTTGTACCTTTTCCCAATCCTCTCCTTCTCAAGCACCACACGGGCGCTCTCATGCACACACTCGCCCACACCCCCTCGTGCCAATAATTTAAACTTCTCTTAGGCAAGGGCACTGCCACCACCATTCCCTCCACCCTCCCCACCCCGCGAACATCCTCCCCCTTTCCCACCTCTACCCTGTGTTCTCTTTCGCAGTGGAAAACCAGCTGGTTTCTCCTAAACCCTGAGAAATCACAAAAGTTAAAATGAAGCAAGTGTCTGCCCAGCGTCTCATCCCCAACCATCTTTCTCCAGGCGTCAGTTTAACAATAGCTATTCGAGAAAAGGGGTGGGGGGGGAGGGCCGCAAGGGAGCGGGTGAGGGATGTGTAGCCGAGTTGGCTACTGAGTGGCTGCGAAGCCTTGTCGGCTGCGAAAGGGGTTCCCCCCTCGCCCAGAAGGCGAAGTGAGCCGCGTAGGACCAAGGACAGGGCTTGGAATCCACTTCCCAGCGCGCAGCACAGCGAGGCTCCCAGGCAGCCGCCCCTCCACAGACACAGCTCCAAGGATCTTATTTACGCTTTTCTGAACAAAGGGAATCTCATATCCGGTACAGGCTTAAGAATTCGGCCCTAAATTGGCTATCTTCTTTTGAAACACAACCATGATCATTGGCGGCCGTGAATTAGAGCCCGCACACCTCACAACGATGAGTTTTGACAGCTTCTACCCACCCCAACCCCAGCCCAGCCCCAGCCCTCAAGCGGCATGTACTTTTTTCAGTCAACTACAACTAGCTGCCTGGTGCAGCATCTAAATTCCATCTGGCAATCCCATCTCCCCAGCACATGTTATCTGGTTAATGCAATTAAGTCGGGGGTTTTCGCTGGTCTAATCTCCAAGTCCAGGCTTCTGATTCCCCTTAATGGTCCTAAAGCCTCTCCGGTCCTTCGGTTGCTTCGCGAAAGTAGAGGCATGCATACCCCCGCCCCCCACAAACCCAAGTTATCCCTCTCTTCCCACGAAATGAACTTCCAACCTCAATCCCGAAGCTCCCTCAATATCTAGACTCCCATTGTACCCCTGTTCTTCCCTGGCCACATTTACCACTTAAGTTTCTGCCATTGACATTTGTGAATATTCAGTACGTCAAGCATGCGTCCACGGTCTTTTAGTCTAGCTCTCTAGAATTAAAAAGCAGAGCAGTATCTTTGAAATAATACAAACATGTGCAATTAACTTCGTATTCTGTATTCTGCTCACTTACAGGTTTTCTGGGTTTGCCAGCGCATCGCTGCAACTAATGATTAAAGAAACCAAACCGAAACTTACCTTTCTCCCTTAAGGTTTTTGTGTATATGTGTTTTTAAAGTAACGGTGCAGTTCTCCCAATAAGGATGAGCAAGAGTCTGCTGGATAGTTCTCTTAAGACAGCACGAAACCTAAAACTGTGCTCGGCTTAAAAGAAGCAAATAAAAAGAAATGCTTTCGACCCCAAAGTCCAACGCTAAGAGAAATGGCGAAAAAAAAAATATATGAAAGGGGAGGGGAAACTTAAAAAAGAGAGTTTAAAAAGACGGAGACTACCCTCCTATTGCCGTTCAACTAAACAAAAAGGGGCAAGAAAAACAAACGAAGGAACAAAGAAAGAGACGAAAGAACGTTTTTTCAAAAAGACGATGTCTTTCTCCTTGTTGCTTTTTAGTAGGTCGCTACAGGAGTAAGCTGCTGCATCTCTAACTGAGAACAGAAACAAGGGGGGAGGACGTCTTAAAAGGGAGGTGGACTGGACCACAGATTTATAGCACCGTATCACCAACCCCTTCTCTGCCTCCGCACTGCCGTGTGTGCAGCTGCTCTGCCAGGCTCCTATCCCGGGCAGCACGCGCGGAAGTATACGCTGAGTCGTGCCACAACGCAACTTGCTCATCTCCCCAGGATCCTGATTGGTCCAGACGCTTCTATTGAGGCCGCCCAGGAGAGGCCGCGCGATATGATTGGTTACGTGCTTGTGTCACTCTCGAGAGCTCAATGGAGTCCCGTTTCAAGGTAAGTTGTGCGGAGAGGTACACGCTTAACACTGGTGGCGAAGGGAAATGCAAGAAGCAAAAAGAGATGGGGAGAGAGCAACGTGGGAGGATTGGAACTGTACTATCAGAGTTTTTGCGATATGGCACGATCTCCTTTCCTCTTAAATCTTTCTGCTTTGGAAAGACTCATTTCCTTTGCCATCACTGCCTCATCTATGGCACTTTTCTTTATAACATTAAACTCTGTCCCCTATGTATGAGTCACTGAGAGCTCCCTCTCTTTGAACTGAGTGAAAGGGATGAATGTACATCCATTACTTGCACGTATGCCTTTTTCGATTTGTGTTCCAGTATTCTATATTAGATATTAGGTAATTTAATGTCTTTCTCTATTTTAATATATGCATATTGCTGCTCTCTGTTTGGGTTTTTTTAAGCGTCTTTTAGGATAAGAATGAAGTCAGAAATGCTTTCAAATAAAGCTGCACGGTTTGAATTACCTTTCACTTCATGTCAGAGTAGAAAAGTGCAGGATAAACATCCTGTCCAGGGAAAG